TGCAAATTTTGACGCACATCTTCTTTTCCGCTTTCTCTTACCTCTCAGCCTCGCCACACCCAAATAATGTCCAGGTCCTTCTACAAGAAAGCCACAAATTGCACTTTTAACGGAAAGATATTCAATGTTGCCGGTAACTTGAATTTTATGGGCGATTCTGGATCTGAGGATCAAATTGTCTCGCATGGTGCATGCGGAGAGCCAATTTTCGACGAGGTAGGGTTCACACTCTTGAAAATTTACATGCAAATCGCTTAAGATCAACCTGTGTGCTTCTCACTTGCAGTACGCGTATGTACGTCAGTGTAATATGCGTCTTTTACAACAGCTATCAGAGGTCAATGAGGAGTTATGGTGGCCGGAGAGACTGAAGTGTACAAAGACTACTTACAAGATTGACTTGCTTGGTCGGCGTTATAAGGAGGCTACTAGTGCTTTACCTTATCGCATAGCTGTGCATTACACTGGAAAAGATGCTTACGCTGTATGTCTTTCATATTTCTCAAAATAAATGAATGATCAAAATAACAATGCTTTTGCAGGTATGGGAACAAGACTTGGTGAAATATTCCAACCAGTACAGTTCTCATTTCAAAGTTTTTTTACCTTCTTGTTCACGAATTTTCTTGCTGAAATACTCTAGGCATCCAAATCTTGTTCATCTATATGGATTTAATAGACAGAAGTCAAATCCATCTTTGATTTTCTGTGATGGTCGGTGGTATTTATATGAATACTGGGGTGGTATTAGTTGACTTTTCCTAACATTGTAGATGTTATTCCATTCATGCAAGTCTGGGAAGATTGCTCCCCAATTGTCAAGTGGTGTATTGACTACAGTTATGTATGTCATTTCCTCCCTGCAACACCAGCCTTTTAGATCTCATGTTAGATTCCCTTAACAGTTCGACGCTGCATATAAGGTTAAAAGAGACATGATTGGACATGAAAATCTTGTTGAGTTTTTTTTTGCTGATAAATTGTGTTCATTGTCTGATACTAATAGTTTTCATAGCAAAATGCTGTATTCATCCGATGTGATACGGGAGAGATTTGTTTTGGTTCACAACAATCATCCAAACCGATTCCATCAATACTTTGGCATTATGGATCTTTCAAGGAGAGTCCAGGCATATCATTGCCATTTAACTTGTATCGTGATGAAGCTGGTCTTGAGGAATATTTATTGGGGATGATGGGACAGAAGAACCCTCCAGTATTGATGCCTGTGAAAGCAGCACATCATAGGAATGTCATTGGTGTTGCATACACTGGGGTTGTACCTCTTCCCTCAGTCCTACAGATGGATTTCTATAAGCGCGAGCCAAAGCTTATTGGGTCATTCAAAAATATGCATCAGTCAAATTCATATACATTGGAGCCCTGGAAATGTGATGATTTTTATTCTCCTGTTGGATATTTACTTGGAACTGGGTGGACTCGGTGGGTCAATAAATAATATGGAAGACGATCAACTCACTTCTAAACACCAAGACTATGCTTTAGGTTTCACTGTGAGAATTACATTGGAAAGAAATTTCAGCTTCGTGTCCTTTGTGCTCGCGATGCCGTACAAAGAATATACAATGCTTGGCTTCATCAGAAAGAGTATTTTCCCAATGCAATTGGGGAAGATGCATTTGATATATTTGGATTTGGTGAACAGATTTCATTCCCAAAAAAGATTGGTTCTGATTTGGTAAAACACAGATCTTATTACCGAATTAACTTTTCACCTCAAAAATGAAATTGACATCCGGAGAGTCGCACGTCCAGTAGTCATGCCAAAGGATGTTTTTCTATTTATCGCACCAGTGGCACTCAATAAGTGTCCTGAAAGTGGCTCAGTTGAAGTAAGATGGTTGGCAAATGGAAGAGATCATTATTTCTGGTCCTTTGACCCATCCGGGTCTGTCCCGTTATCAAGGAGAGTCTGCAATATTTTTGGGACTTCCGAGCTACAAGACAAGTATTAGTCTTAGGACCCCCCATTTCTTATGATTATCACTCTGAAGCCGTCAAGTATTTACAAGAGATTCAAGGGTTTGACCCCTTGACACAAGATTACGCTCGAGCCCGTGGGGCTCCCACTACTTGAAATTCTCTCCCCATCGGAACGTTTCCATCTGAATGGTATGTGCAACACACTATTTGACTGAGGGAAGAATTTTCTAATTATTGAATGATTTAATAGTAGTCGCTCTGACTGAAGAAAATCAAGAAGCATTGTCTGTGTGGTCTGATGCCGCAGAAACATTGAGCAACGTGTCGGAGTCAGTGTACGGAGATGCTAGTTCACAACTTCAAAGTAAGTCCTCGAAAGCTTAATTTTCTTCGATGTATTAATGGTGTGTTTAGCGATTCTATTTCCGATCCCTAGTGCTGAGCGAAAATTGAATTGGACTACTCCAAACCTGGATAATTTCGAGGGAGACTTCCCTTTTAATGAAGAGTCGGATAATTCAGCTTCGCAGGCCCTTGGCTTAAATCTGTCTTTGGGATCAGCCTTAATTGCAGGCTGCAAACCAAGCTCATGGCTATGTGCATATCTTATTCAAGGAGACATCAAATCATGGACGGGTGAGAGGGATCGATATCGATCGAAATTTTGTTGGAGGTTTAATTCCAACGTCTCAAACACTGGTGACCAAGGAATATACACCTTTCGTCAGATTTGTCCCAAATGCCTCCATATGGGTCGGCATCGACGAGAGTGTTATATATTCTGTAGTAAGTGCAAACGGGGTTTCTGGCAGGACTCCTACATACAACTTAGAAAACGTCGTGCTTCCATCTAGCCACTTAATCTAGTTAGTAACACTACGTACTGTAGTAGGCCAATATCAATTTGACCAAATATAGCAGTGACTTCTTCCAACAATTATTCTCTTCATCACAGGGTTATGGCTTACCTGGACTGAACATTCTCTTTAGAGTGATCCCAGAGAGCTCCAGTTTTTTTCTGAGAATTTTTAATTAAGTATTCATAGAGAAGATCCCAGTACAATGATATCAGCCTATTCATCACTATCCAGGAAGCACACCAAGATATTCTGTGTTTTTATGTCCCTACAGTGTAATAAGAACAATATAGGTATGCATTCAATCTGCAGCTGATACCTTGTAACTTGTCTTCCATGATACCGGGTGGAGGGACATGACAGCATGGCATTTGCATGCTGCCCATGCTGCTTGACATCCATTCAATCCACGAGCATATGCATTCATGAATCAATGTCAATAGTGGAAGTGTGAGCACGAAAGACAGAGCCCTCGAGAATTTGCAGCGGAAATTACTATATATAGTCCGTCACGCTTTGCCACGTGGGGTTAGTTGGGTAGTTAGTTAGTTAGTTAGTTAGATACACAGCAAAGGTCCCCCTAGGGAACTGCTGGAAAATCATGTGTGTCGTCTACCTTATCTTCGGAAAAATAATTTTGGGCCACTCCGGGCAGCATAGTTCTCCGATCATTCGAGGTTCGGTAATTATAACGGAAAGATAGGCCAGATCGGGAAACAAGACTCGAAGTTCTTTCAATCAAGAATGAGTAGGTAGGAATGGGATCCTCCATTACCATATCTAGTGTGTACATTGCGTTTATTGAATACTTTATAGCTATGATCCATTTATAATTATTCAGAGAAACTGAAAGAGGAGAAAGGTTAACGCCGATTCAAGATGTTCCGTCACATTGAGGAGTCCAGAAAGGAACAGAAAGAAGAGGAGTTGGATATAGGGGGAAGCTGGTGATGAGCTGTTGCAGATGCCGGATGGAATGAATGATTGTCCGGCTGGTGTTGCAGTTGAAGGTGGAACACCAAGTTGGAAGAAGCGAGAATATTAATACTGGTAAAGTTAGAAGAAACATCATGGATCCGGACAGAGATAGTGTCAGTGATCCGCCAGCTCACGGGCAAGCAGGTGACAGAAAGAAAAGAGAGTTCAGAGACGGGAGGGGTAGTGTCAGGATTTAGCCGAGCTTTCGCTGATTGAAAACGTTTTCTGACGCTTATAGTTTCTATTGAGTTATGGACACATTGTGAAATCATCCAAGACGTGAAGCAATTCTTGCGTAGGATTCAGAATTGTTCAAGGCAAATAGATAGCTTCTGGTCACTCTATTCGAGTGCGCTTCCGTAGCGATTTGCGCCTAAAACTTGCACTGATTCCCATATACTCTAAACAAAGTAGCGGCCTTGAAAATACACGCTTAAAGATTTTGGTACTATTGGCATACAGGCCTCACTAGGATTCGAAGGGGGTTTCCAGTTCAAACACACCAGGGCCATGAAGAATGTCAACCTCATCTGTCCACATCTTCGCCCAGCCTTCGAGTGAGTCAGGTAATATGGTGTTATTAATCGCCCTCTGTAGAGCCTGCAGGTCACTAACAGGACCTTCTCCAATGGGTACGACAATCACTTTGTGATGTCCGTCAAGAGTTCGACCTTTATAAAGGCGGGGACGATTATCAATGCACTCTATAATCTTCTGAACGAGGTCATCTATTCGACCATCATGCAGAGTGTCAAGTTCGAGGGCAACCATGATCTTCTCGAGTCCGATGCCATAGCCCATTGTATAGTAAGACACCTGGAGATCGCTGTGAGATATTCTAAATACATCAATAATAGCGCCGAGACAAACCATTTCTGGATGGAGAGACCTAGAGGACTTTGAAGATAAGTCTCAAAATAACCTAAAAGTATATGCGATGATGGTGGTGTTCGGCCAAGAGCGATTTGTGTTGTTTGGTCATGGTTATTCACGGCTATTTTGGACCCATGATCAGACTCCGACATAGTGGTGAAGCATGGCAAACACTCGGCGAGGGTGGAATATTGATGACGGGGTAGACGGCGGTCGCAGAAGTAGTCTTTCTATTTTTGGATTGGGATGGACCTTCTTGCTACGCGCCAAGGGAACAGAACGGTGATATCAACAAAGAAACACCCACTTTCAAGTTAGACTCAAAAGCGAGCTTGTATCGGAAACCATCGACGCCAGCAGGATTCGAACCTGCGCCCTCAAAGAGGAACAGATTTGGGACCTAACAGCTATTCATTCTAATCTGTCGCCGTAACCACTTGGCTATAGCGCCGATATCGGTGCAAGACAGTACGACGAATTCAGCAACAACCTCGGAGAACCTCCTAAAACCAAATAAATTCCCACGATCCGAACCTCTCTTTCCTCGTAAAGAAATGTCGCAAACGTACGTAACTCGCCTTTACCTACACACCTCCCAGCGTCTTTTCTCAAACCGAATGCTCTTTGTGCAGAGCGCGAAACTCTTCAGAATTCGGCCACTCATCCATGACCCATATGATCCCAAACCGAGACTCCTTCCTCCTCCTCCCAAATCCAAATCCTGACGACCCCTCCAATATCGATAACAATAGCAAAGACAATAACAACGTCTCTCTCACTGTCAACTACATCCCTCAGAAATTCCCCAACACTATCCTCTCTCCATCGAACCCTCGACGAAGACGCCCACCTAAACGAGGAGTACTAGCCGTCCCACACGCCCCTGAAGGCGTCAACCCGTTCGCCAAACCAGGTGGTGGAGTCGACGCTTTCAACCCTCACGAACGTCGCATCGCAGATCAAGCAGACGAAGACTACGACGGCGTCCAACATTCCCCTCTCATCGATGTCATCTCCGGTTCAAACTCTACCCCTGACCTCCCTTCCACTGGCACTGGCACCTCCAAATCCAAATCCAAACCGAAAACCCATCATCAGTTCCGAGTTCAAAAATGGAACACGTTCAAACTCACTTTATTCATCACCAACACTCTCTTAATCCTCACCTCCCTCTCCACACTCATCCTCCTCCTCCTAACCCATCTCTCCCTCCTCCCCCTTTCCCCTATCCTCCTCACCGCCAACACCGTCGAACTCTCCTTCTCCCTCCTCTTCTCCCTCCTCTCCCTCTTCACCTCCCTAATCGGCTACACCGGAATCCTCCTCAACAACCGTTCCTTCCTCGCCCTCTACACTTTCCTAACCTTCCTCTCCTTCATCTCCCTCATCATCCCCGGCTACACAGCCTACCACCGTCGCACCTTCAACCTCGAAGGAAAACTCAACTCCCAATGGTCTCACTCCCTCGGCTCCCTCGGTCGCCGTGTCATCCAAGACCAACTCACCTGTTGCGGTTACTCCTCCCCCTTCATCGAAGCTACCATCTCCCAAACCTGTTACTCCCGCTCCGTCCTACCCGGCTGTAAACTCGCCTACATCCATTTCCAACGAACCGCTCTACAACTCTTCTACATCACCTCGTTCGCTCTCGTCCCGATCTTACTCGCAGTCGTCATCGCGGGTCTGTTGTGTTCGAATCACGTCACGTATCGATTTGGGAAGGGTATGATGCCGAAAGCGTATAGATTGGAAGAGGGCAGTGTGAGAGTGATTGTGGATAGGTATTTGGATGGGTTGAGGAGGTTGTATGGGGACGAAGTGGTTAAGGATGTTAGGAGGAAGACGGTGTATTTTCAGAATAACCAGACGGATTGGGAGGATGTTGACGGGGCGGGTACCGGCAACGACGGCGGAGTTGAAGGGTTCAACTTTAACGTGGTCGAACCGGAAGATGAGGACGAGGAGATCGAGAGTGAAAAGGGTAGTAGAGGAAGAAATGAGAGTAGATTGGCTATGGATCGTCGTGACGACGCTACGACGAGTGACACTCCGAGCAGTGCTAGTCCTAGTCGGGCTAGTTTCGTTCCGCTTTTGAAGCCTTGAAAGGGCCTTTTTGAGCGCTTTCTAAAGGAGAAAGGAGGGAGGTGATCGTCCCCATGCTCCTTCGACGACTTTTTTTCTTTTTTACTAAATCTTTACATATCTTTTCCTCTACACATCTTCTCCTCAACACATCTTTTCCTCAAATTTCAACCCTTTCCGCCTTTTCTTTTCATTTTCTCTTTTTTTTTTCCCTTTTCTCTCTATTCCTTTCATCTCAGGAACCAGGTTTCGTTTAGTCGGTTGTACTTTCCCTATACTTACATCCTTCCCAGTCTAACTCGTCTAACTCACCTACCTTACCTATCTTATCCTATTCCATCTTCTATTCTATCTTATCCTCTTAAACCATAGTATATAGTATAGCATACCATAGCGTCGTATACAGTAGCGGAATTTTAACCACCCTAACCCCCCCTTCCCTTCAAGGAATCAAAGATGGTCGGCTCATAGCATGAATAAATGAATGCCTGCCAGTGAACGTACCCAAGACAGCAAACGTCCGAAATCGTTAGTCATGAAGTACTGAATGGGTGCTAGCCAGTCTTATGTGCTGGAATAGACTTAAATTTCTAGATGTTTAGAGACAACGATATATGCGTCGAAAACCAATGCAAATGCGATTTTATAATCACAACAAGCAGAACTATTAGTATTGCGGTAGATTTAGATTCAGATGAGACAATTAGATGACTTCAAGCAATCAAAGAAAGAGAGAAAGAAAGATAGCTTTACCCATATATGCACAAAGCCCACAAGTTCATTTCCGTGCCCTGTTCCTTGAACAACTCACAGTTCAAGTTCTACTACTTGGATCCCCGTTCCTTCGCACGGCGAGATGGGAAGCACTGCTTCTATGAGCCTGAGAGCGTCCAAATCCGATCTCGGATCGACCCCTTCACGTTCAGCAGTCAGTCGAGACTTTAGCTGATCCATCATTCATCCAACTAGGCAACTCTTCCTCTTGAATCTTCTTTCCCCTCGACATGAAGAAGATAGGCACGAAACACTGACAGTTTCGGTCGCAAAATCACACATCCGCCAGTATGCGCGCTTCGATGATACGAGCTCAAACTGGACCAACCATGACAAGCATACGAAAGCCTATACAACAAACTCAACTCATCCTCAGACGCACCCAACTCGGCTATTCGTCTGTTAAGTTGGATATCCTGATGTTCGAGATTCGCTCTCAACACAATCTGGTGACAACGGTTGGGAGACGCGTGTGTCGGCCAATAACAACGCGTAGTTCCGTACGCACATCCCACGTATCCCATCACCTAACGCTCCATACATGTCCTTCATCTAGGCTCCTTTTTATAATACGACCTCAACACTTTCGAGAGTCTAGGCCATTGAGAGGATTTCTCTTCCAACTTTTTCGTGTCCAGCGCTGGCTCTCTGAAGAATATTTTATCCTCTTGAATCATAGTATATAGTATAGCATACCATAGCGTCGTATACAGTAGCGGAATTTTAACCACCCTAAACCCCCCTTTCAAGGAATCAAAGATGATCGGCTCATAGCATGAATAAATGAATGCCTGAACGTACCCAAGACAGCAAACGTCCGAAATCGTTAGTCATGAGTACTGAGTGCTAGCCAGTCTTGCGCACTGTAAGTAATGCATATGGATCTAAATTTTTGGATTTTATATAAGACAATGATATATGCGTCGAAAATCAATGCAAATCTTTGATTTATAATTACAACAAGCAGAACTATTCGTATTGCGGTAGATTCAGATGAGACAATTAGATGGCTTCAAGCAATCGCAATCAAAGAAAGACAGAAAGAAAGATAGCTTTACCCATATATGCACAAAGCCCACAAGTTCATTTCCGTGGCCTGTTCCTTGAACAACTCACAATTCAAGTTCTACTTGGATTCCTGACCAGTCCGGTTAATAAACTCCTCCTCCTCCTCCTCCTGTTCCTTCGCACGGCGAGATGGAAGCACTGCTTCTATAAGAGCGTCTAGATCCGATCTCGGATCGACCCCTTTACGTTCAGCAGTCAGTCGGGACTTTAGCTGATCATCATTCATCCAACTAGGCAACTCTGACTCTTCCTTCCCCTCGACGTGAAGAAGGTAAGCACGAAACACTGACACTTCCGGTCGCAAATATTAATCACATCCGCCAGTACGCGCGCCGCTTCGATGATACGAGCTCAAACTGACCGCATACGAAAGTCGATACAACAACCTCAACTCATCCTCAGACGCACCCAACTCGGCTATTCGTCTGTTAAGTTGGATATCCTGATGTTCGAGATTCGCTCTCAACCAATCTGTGACGACGTTCGGACGCGTGTCGGCCAATAACAAAGCGAGCTCCGTGGCACATGCCACATATCCATCACCTAACGCTCCATACATGTCCATCATCTCCTTTTTATAATACGACCTCAACACTTTAGAAGGTCTAGGCCATTGAAAAGGATTTCTCTTCCAACTTTTTCGTGTCGAGCGGCTCTCTGAAGAATATCTTATCCTCTTAAACCATAGTATATCATAGTATAGCATACCATAGCGTCGTATACAGTAGCGGAATTTTAACCACCCTAACCCCCCCTTTCAAGGAATCAAAGATGATCGGCTCATAGCATGAATAAATGAATGCCTGAACGTACCCAAGACAGCAAAGTTCAAACATCCGAAATCGTTAGTCATGGAGTACTGAGTGCTAGCCAGTCTTGTGCACTGTAAGTAATAGATCTAAATTTTTGGATTTTAAGACAATGATATATGCGTCGAAAATCAATGCAAATCTGATTTATAATTACAAGCAGAACTATTAATATTGCGGAAGATTCAGGTCGACAATTAGATGGCTCCAAGCAATCAAAGAAAGAGAGAAAGAAAGATAGCTTTACCCATATATGCACAAAGCCCACAAGTTCATTTCCGTGGCCTGTTCCAACAACTCACACTTAAAGTTCTACTACTTGGATTCCTGTTCCTTCGCACGGCGAGATGGAAGCACTGCTTCTATAAGAGCATCCGAATCCGATCTCGGATCGACCCCTTCACGTTCATCAGTCAGTCGAGACTTTAGCCGATCATCATTCGTCCACCTAGGCAACTCTGACTCTTCTTTCCCCTCGACATGAAGAGGGTAAGCACAAAATACTGACACTTCCGGTCGCAAATCACATCCGCCAGTGTGCGCGCTTCGATACGAGCTCAAACTGACCAACATGACAGCATACGAAAGTTCATACAACAACCTCAACTCTTCCTCGGACGCCCCCAACTCGGCTATTTGTCTGTTAAGTTGGATATCCTGATGTTCAAGATTCGCTCTCAACCAATCTGTGACAACGGTTCGGACGCGTGTACGGCCA